TACTCCTCCCAGTTTGGTATCATCAGCAAACTTGCTGAGGGAGCACTCTGTGCCTTCATCCAGGCCATTGATGAATAAATTGAACAGGACTGGACCAAGGACTGGCCCCCTGGGGGACCCCGCTAGCTACAGGCCTCCAACTAGACTCGGCACCGCTGATCACCACCCTCTGAGCTCTGCCATCTATTGATTCTGCATATGCACTTTTTTTTTACTCAATATTAATCTCATTTGAGGCACGGGACAAGCCATATTTAGTCCCATCCGTCTCTCAGGTTTCAGGAGTTACCCAGTGTAACTGTTCACAAGGCTGGGAGCACCTGTACCCACCCTGCAAACACACATGTTCACACTTACGAGAAGGTCACCAGCTTTTAAACCTCCGAGTACATGGGATATTAACTCTATAAGCTGGGGTGCTGCTATGGATTGTGAAGACAGTTTAGGTAATATGTAAAGATTTCAGCAGAGTTTCAGTCATGAGTTATGTCTCTTTCCAAATTCAGTGTAGCTTAGACTTTTGTCAGCTAAAATAGATCATTATACAGGGGTAGGGATACAGAAAAAGGATGGTATAGGCAGAATGCATGATGGCATGGTACAGAGAGTTCAGTAACTCTCATACGGGATAGCAACAACATCTATAAATCACTCTGGTTATTCTCTTTGGCAGTTTAGAACTTCTTATGAAAATCTTTATTTCATTTTATTTTTTAATAGTTAATCTCCCCGTCCTCATAAGCCATCTGCTATCTGGAAACAGCTTTTCTATTAAGAAAATGCATACTCACTCATACCAGTATTTTCATGTGTAAAAATACATGGGCTCTATCACCCATTTCCATGCACTCTTCTCAAACCTCCAGAAAGCAAGGAAATAAATGCATGGCAAAGAGAAAACCATCTCCGTTCAAACCAAACTCTGAAATCAAGCGATGCCATCAGTCGCCCTGCGTGAGGAGCATGGGGCAATACAGTCTCGAGGCCCAGGCCTGCTAGGATGGGCCTTCATGTGTCTGGGTGTTGAGTATGTGTGAGATCACAGGCAGCTCACCCGTGTAGCAGCTAGGAGTAACACACCTGTCCTACAGGTAGGAAATCAGAAGACCAATGTCCATCCTGCAGGGCTAAGAAATTCATTTCACCTAATTGTCTAGGTGCATGGTGCCTTTTGCTGCCCCTTGCAAAATGTGCCAGAAGTCTTTTTATTCAAGGAAAGGCTATTATTTTAATTAATTTTAAATTTGCACTTCCATTTATTCTTCTGCTGGTTAACCAGTTTTCTACAAGCCTGTCTAATTAGAGAGTGCAAGGAACTGCTTACACATCTCATCACTTGCAGTGTTCAAAGTGCCTGAATTTGATCTCCTCGCGAATATTAATCTGCCTTGAGGTTCTCCTGAGCCCCCATTCACTGAGCTAGAAATCCGTGTTTGCGTGCTGCTGTTTGCTCCTGAGGGCTCATCTCCCTAGTGAACATGTTTAAACAGCTGAAGTGCTCTCACAATGAAACATTCAAATTCAAGCTTTTATTATTATGCAATCTGGGATTTTTTTTTTATCATTAGACTTCCTTCTGAACTGGGTGGTTGACACTCCCTGTTCCAAATTCCTGTCCCATGAGCTAGTTGTTTGGAAATACTAGCTGGTAGGACAAACACCGTGACTTTTCTACTTTTAATCCAGAGAAAGTACTTTCTCACTAGGTATTTGGGATTAAACTGTAACCCAAAGGCAGGCCGCAGAAATAGGATAAAGATCAAACTGAGCAGGGGAGCTTTGCTTAGTGGATTGATCCAGATGGGAATGATGGACCTGGTACAAGACCCGTCAGGAGTCAGAGGATTCTTTCACATGATTTAACTAGGTTTCTGGATTCAGTCTTGCATAGGCCTTAGGAGACGAATGTGTACCTGCTTTAGCAGCGCTTGTGCTCTGTGAAATAATGTGAAAGTCTATTCTGTGTCAGAACAAACTGAGGGCCCATGGACACAACCACTAATCATAAAAAAAAAAAAAAAAAAGGAAAAAAAAAAGTTATTTTGAGGTAACTCCACGTCTAAACAAATTTAGTGAAAAATCAGCCTACGATGACTTGACTTTCCAGCCGTATCGGGTTCAATACAGAACTTTGCTCCTTGAGCCACATCCAGGAAGGTATTTGCTAGGGGATTTATAGTCCTTTGCATTCTCTTCCTGATGCGAATTAGGTTTCAAGTGCAAAAAGCCTTGAAGTTCCCTGTGCATCCCATGAGCCTGCTGTGATCTTCTCCACTGGAGTCCACCTCCTGGGCACAGGAAAACAGGATGAGATATATTCCCGTTGGAGGGGGACGCTGCTCTTGGCCTGGCCAAGACAGCAACGTGGTGCCTTCCAGCTGCTGTGTCACGAGTTGCCTGGTTCTCGCAAGCGCTGGGGAAGAAGGGATGCACCGAGCGGGCTGCGTGGATTCACGTAGGCTCTTGGAGGGCTTGGCCAGCTCTGCAACCGGGGCTGGAGCCGCCCTGCGCTGTGGTCTGCGCAGCGGAGTCGACATCGCTTCCAGTGCTGAGGTGCCCAGGCTGCTTTTACGTGTTGCACACGCCGCTCCTCCGGAGCCGCACCGTGCGCGCTGCGCGACTCCGGGAAGCGGAGGGTTTGTTTTGACTTGCTAAAACAGTGTTTGCCGTCTCTCTTTACGCTCTCGCCCTATGACGACTTGTCGATTCTCCCCCACTCTCCGCGGAATAACTTGAGATTTAATTAGCTGAGCGCAAACATCCTTCTTTGCCAGGTGGCTTCGCCTCCATACTGGCCGCGTTTACCTTCAGAATGAAAGGCGTCTTCATCAGACCACTCTGTACTGATAGTGTCCCCCTGTTACCTCCAAGCTTCGCAGGGATCTTGCCTAGCATGTCTGAAATGGGACAGTGTGTACATCCCTGCGCAGCAAAGTTCATTGCACACCTCTGCTAGACAAGTTCTTAACAGGCTTCCCAAAGCACAACACAAACACAGGAGCCTGTATGCGCTTCACATCGCTGCAGGTATTTTGCTTGTTATAAGCACTTTAAAAAAACACTTTAGCCCCTATGGACTTTTGATTTCCCAAGAGTTCAAATCTGACAAGCTCATTTCTACCCATCTCTTCTCTCAAAGATACTTTGGTTTCTGTTTGAGTCTTCAGAAGTGAATCATACATTCAAAATCTTCACTGCCTTAGTGAAATATTTTTTCTCCATTAGCATTTAACATGTTTTACATGGGTTCAGACATGTTATCAGAAACTTAGACTAGAGTCCTTAAAAAAAAAAAAAAAAAAGCCCTGTGATTTCATGCCCTGGAAACACCTTTTACACTGTAACAATTCCTGCAGCTATTGGGAGATATGAGGCACATGGATCTGAGTTAGTCAAATTAATACCATAAAGGCTTCTGGCTCAACAAGCACGTACAGTGCAAACAGCAGAACAGCTGTAGTGGAGCTACCTTTCATGTGGGTGGTACAGACATCTGCCAATTAAAATGATCTGATGAATCATTTCTTGCCATATGATTACTGTTAATAAGAATTATGTTAACATGTTTGTGTCTGAACTTTGTACAGGTTAATGCCTGCATTTATTTTCCTTAAAAAAAAATGAAGCATTTCATTATTGTATTTTTGTACTTTATGGACTTTCTTTCCTCATTTGAAAGCATTCCAGGATGTCAGAGATGTACAGCCGCCGACTAGCCCTTAAAAGATGGTTTTATCTCCATGCGATGCTTTCTGCATGTAATTCTGCGTGCACAGGGCAATAGTCTCATCTGGGAACTTCAAGCTGAGCTTCTAAATCCATATAGAAACACTTAAAAAGGAAATGGGTCCTTCAAAATACAAAAAACTGCAAGTTCTAGAGGTCCCTTCCAACCTTAAGCATTCTATGATTCTATGATTCCCATGAAAAGATGAGTCCTTATAAATGGCTAAAGACTGTGTTGTTGCAAGCATTTACACTTAGGCTTTCTTTTAAGTAGTCCCACTAATGGACAGGCTGGGTATCTGGGTTTGAAACTCCTTGTGTGTAAAATGAGGCAGATTTTTTTTTCCCAGAACTGACAGGTTATATTTAGAAAGAGAATATGAGTGGTAAAATGTTCTCTTTGAAAATGGCTTCCACAACTTACAACATATTTCAGAGTGTTTGCAAAGTCTGTGCAATAAGTTAGACACTTCATATGGAGAAAAACATAAGTTTAAATATAACTATTGTTAGCAAATTTTGACCCAGGATGGTCTTGGAATCTCTCTTTGATCAAAGAAATGTAATTTGAAATTCTACTTAAACTTGATAAACAGAAGAGCTGGATAGAGAGACACAAACATGATTTCATTAAAATTGCATGAAAAACAGGGTAGCTAGGATATTTGGTTGGAGGCTGATCCCTGTGAATCCTGTTTACAAAGTATGACCAGAATGAACACTCTGGAGGAATGACTTGTCCACACGTGGACTTAAAAAATTAGTAATAAATATGCTGGAGAAAACAATTCTAAAAAGACTAAGGAGAAAGTTGGCAAATCACTCTTTTCTTTCCTTACACTGGCAATTCTGGCAGTCACAGCTGGAGGAGCACAGGGCTGTAACGAGCAAGGTAGGAACCCATCGCTGTCACTGGAGCTGCCTGGGGCTCTTTGACCAACTCAAACTCTCTGGCCAGCTTTGGCCAACTCAACTCTTTGGCCCTGCCCCTGTTCAGGGATGTTCTGGGATCATTTTTGCCTTCATTTTCTCTGCCAAATAACTAAATCAAGAACTCTCATATGTTTTTTTCCAGTGTCATCCTGCATCACCACCTATAAGAAGACACCACCTCCAGTTCCACCAAGAACTACCACCAAACCATTTATTTCCATCACAGCCCAGAGCAGCACAGAGTCTGCCCAGGACGCATATATGGACGGGCATGGGCAAAGGGGAGATATCATCAGTCAGTCGGGACTTAGCAACTCCACAGAGAGCCTGGACAGTATGAAGGCACTAACAGCTGCTATTGAAGCTGCCAATGCACAGATCCATGGCCCAGCCAGTCAACACGTAGGAAACAATACTGCCACTGTCACCACCACCACCACCATTGCCACAGTTGCTGTAGAAGACAGAAAGAAGGACCACTTCAAGAAAAACAGATGTTTATCTATTGGAATACAGGTACAGTACAGGATTTGGATTGTAGTGTAATTTGTACATTATGAATGGATTGCAATTTGCCATTGCTTTGGATTTCTTCACTTCTTTCACTGTTTAGTTCCATGTATTTTTTTACTTTTCTTGACAGGTACCTGTGTAGAAGCTGCAGTAGGCCAATAGTTCTGCATGGTACTGATGGTGTTTAACTAATTTATCATATACACATCAGGAAAGAAAAAGGATTTGTTTAAGTCTCCTTACAGCTTATTATTCAGCTTTGTTAAATTACACACATGAGCACTAATCTATGAATCATAACACAGCAGGGGTCAGAAAAGCATGAATTAAATCATTGAAAGGGAATGTGTAAAACAATGATTTACATTACACTATCACCCGAAAAATATTTTCGTCCGGTCTCACTGAATTAATTGTCACTGCTTATTCATGCATTTCATAATGACTGGTAGCCACTTGAATGAGGCGCCTTTGTTCCTCTCTCAGCCTCGAGAGCTGGGATAAGTTCCTTCTGATTTGCCCTTGTTAAAGAAAATTGCATTTTGTTACCTCTAGTGGAGTGAAACAAGAAAACGAACCCAGCCAGGGTTCACTCCTATTTACAAAAAGGAGAGGAGCAAATGAAGTAGATCAACTTAATCTGTAATCTTATTTAATCTTTCCCATACCCCCTCTAAAAGAATGTGTATAGGAGGGAGGCTATCTACCTGCAGGATTTGGTTCTGCAACAAAGTACGTGAACTTGCAATCAACTGAGAATCAACGCGGGTTTTGATGGGAGATGAATCCTAAGCAAACAGCCTGGCAATCTGCATCTTATCGGCCTTCACAAAATCAGCCTTCATGAAAAAACAGGATTTTTTTCTTGCAGATGGTTGTGTTTACAACCTCCCATGTGCCTGGACAGGCTTATCTGATTAGCAAAGGCTAAGAATTTACTCTGAAATCTCCACATCAGCCTGATGAGAGGTGGTGTGCAGAAGTAGGCCATCCCAGGAGGCAGCTTCTGGAGAAGCTGTGACTTTAGTAATCTCATACTTCTTCGTGGAAGGGCAATAATTACCACAAAGGGCTTGTCTCCTTAGATCTGAGAAAAGCAAAGCCCAAAATGTTGGTCAAGCTTTCGAAAATATTCCTGTAAAATTTTGAAATGTACAGATGATCAGTATAATCAGCATCACTGGGCATCACATGCAAAGAGCTGCCAGGTTAGGAGCGGCTACAAACCAGGAGGTGTCTAAGGATGCGTTTGTTTGAAGCGGAGGCACCGTCAGTGGTGCTTCATGAACAAGCAAAATTATTTGCCAGTCTGTTCTGCAGTCCAGTTTGCAGCGTGGTTGCACAAGCAGTTGTGCTGGAACAGCTGAAGGGCTCGTGTGGGAGTGGAAATACCGGGAGCCTACTCTGGCTGCCAGAAATGACTTAGAAACAGCAGCCTTAAAAGATGTAGGTAGTTTCTCAGCGCTCAGACTGGTAGCAGGAAGTCAGTCTCCCTCCACTGACTCTAACTAGTTGAGCTCAGACTGAACTAGACCAAGTAGATGCTGTACTTCTAGTTTGGCCCATCTCTGCAGAGCAATGCAAGCCACATTAGCCAGAGGTATGTTCTTGGGTTTGCATCTTTCTCTAATAAATGCACCTAACATGCGGTTGTGATACCTAACGTGCAGTTGTGATGGACCTCTCATGCGTCCTCTGACTCCTCTGACACTGTTGGGACGCTGCAAGCCTTTGTTGTAATCTGGTCAACAACAACAACAACAACAAAAATGCTTCCATGAAAAAGGTTATTTTTCTCTGCCAGTTACAGGATTTCCCCCTAACTGGACTTGCATAACTTCTGGATTTAGGGTGTAATTATCTCCCCAGATACCTCAGTACCAGGTAGGGGTGCCCTATAACTCCCATCCCCAGTTCTTCGAAATCATGAAATCACTTTTCCTGCACAGGGCTGCTAAATGCTCTGCCAACAACCAACTTCTTAACTTCTTTCCTAGTAGCACCCCAGAGCATTTGCAGTGCCTGGTGCTGGCTACAGCTGGAGCTTGTGCCCGAGGTCGGGGTAAATTCACAGGACATTGTGTGCTGGCTTCATTTTTTTTTTTTTTTTTTTTTTTTTTGGGGGGAAGATTAACAATCCCACATCTAGCATTGGGAATTCGCAGCCACGCTGGTTGGACCCAGAATGTTGTGGTTTCGGTCAGTTAAAGGTGCATCTGTGACTAAACTTTAACTTCAAGATAATGCCAGCCAAGCGCTGCGTCTGCTTTCTTTAAATCCTACCTGTCTAATGCCCTGATTCAGAATACTTAATGTTTAAACTAAACAAACACATAATTTTGACATCACACACACACATGCACATGCAAACTAGCTGGCAAAGTCAAACAAATGGTGCAGCACAGCAGGCAGGTGGCATTAGGGCTTGTCAAAGACTCTGGCCAATCTGAGTATCCAGCCTCCATAAAATACTGGATAAACTTCATCTGAATTTTGTAGGCCTAGTGGTGTCTCAACACAGCTGCTTTAAGACTAGCAAGAATGATTAATATTTCATAATTGTGTCAGAAATGGGCACACAATGAATAAGCTGTATCAAGGTAGTTACGGTACAAGCCATATGTGTGCACACTTTGTAGTTAGCATACATGGAAATACTAAATAAGGGGGTGATACCTCCACTAAAACACATCCTAATTAGCTGGTTGTTTTTTTAAGGTTGACGGTGCTGAAGAATCTACCCCCAAATCAGGTGAAAATAAAGCAACCAGTAAGTTCCAGTCCATAGGAGTTCAAGTAGAGGAGGAGAAGTGGTGAGTAGAAGTTCATACTGTTTTTCTGAAGTAAATAATTATGTCGCAACTAATTTTTAAGAGCCCTGGTTCCAGCACGCATAGCAAAACAACTCATTTCCTGGATGAACTCTTGTTAGATCACCCAGCTGAAAAGAGGAGGAAACAACTATTCTTCGATTAAAAAAAAAAAAAAGGAAAACAACTAGACAGTTGTCAGCAAGAGGTAGGTTTCTTATGGAAGCCAGATTGCCAGAGGGCAGCCCTTTTGCAGGGCAGTGTGAAAGGGCAGGGCGCTCTACAGGCAAATAAACTTGCTGAGGCCCTTACCACATCTGCAAAGCCTAATTCCTGCCCCAGACAGCACCCAGTGAGTCCTTTGGACACGATGCAGCTTTTGGAGATGCTGTGCAAGGAAAGCTGCCGGGCGGTGAGGGGAAGGTGCCCCCTCGCACCCTCTGCAGAGAAACCCCGAGCGCAGCATAGCGGAGCTGACGGCCGTATCGGAGCCCTCTGCCCTCCTCTGGCCTGCCAACAGTAGTACCAAGTAGAGAAGAAACGCATTTGCTACACTTGTTTTTTACAGATCTGCTAAAGGAATTTAAAATAACGTGTTATCCATACGACTTCAAATTCAGCGAATTCTGTTTGTAAGTCTGCAGAAAGTATTTTTCAGTGGGTTTAGAAGGCTAAGGGGATTTCAGCAAAAATAAATGCAAGTTTCAGTGACCTTGTTAGGCTGTTACTAAGTTCCTCATTAACCCGCTAAAACATCTCCTTCTGGCAGACGTTTCTTTATGCGTTAGACCTTAGCCCCATTTACCCACAACTCTTCCAGCACTAGATAAATGAGCGCATTAGAATAGATGCTGAAGGACCATTTGCCTTCTGCCTAAGCACAAAGGGAAGAAATAGCCCCTCAAAGCCCAACCCCCATCCTCCCTCCCCCAAAAAGCAGGAGGGGGGAAAAAAAAAGTAAAGAAATGTCTGTTTGTAAATACCTTGCTTCCAAAGTTCTCTTTCTTCTGCTGTTTTTAGTGTTCCATAGCAAAAGGTAAGGTTTCCCCACCAGGGTCTGCCCTGCAAAGCCCGTTATTTCTGCGTTTCTCATGACAGTTCGGGGCATTCCTTGCTGATAAAAGTTGAAGCTGCTGCTGTTTTGAGCAGCCTGGCAAGCAGCAATCTATCATGCACTTTCAGAAGTGAGCTGACTGATGAAGGACAGCCCCTAATCCTCTGAAAATGAGTGCACTCAGGACACAAAGGGCTTATCAGCACAATTTTGCACTCATGTTCTTTCTTTTTTTTTCCCCATCCCCTGCAGAGCACAATATATTGATTATCTGTTACATTGTAAATATGGGGCATTCTCCTTATACCATAACATCTGCAGAACCCTGGAAGAACACTTTTGAATTTTATCTTTGACAAATTAATGTAAAAAAAAAACTTTTATCATTCAGAAATATTGAATAAATATAAAATAAGAATGACACAGCAAAGAGGATAAATACAGTGAATTAATCATTTTTCTATGCCAGTCTAAGCTACTAAGTGTTGCTAAAAATCATCAAAGCCGTCTGCTTAATGCACAGAAAGCCTTCCATGCAAAATTTGTTTCTCTTCTCTCCTTAACTTAATGTCCTTTCCTGTCCTTTTCTCCCCCTTTCCCTCATCTCCTATGGCTGTCATCCTCACACTCAGGAGCCTTACCTCCTCATGTCCTTTTAGATATTCCCGCTTCTGTATTTGGACCAAGTAAGCAAAAGATTTTGCATCCGTGTCTTGATCTAAGTGACTCAAAACCAGAGCATCCTCAGAGCACAGCTCGCTCTCTTTCTGATCTCGACTCGGACCTTTCATTAGCCCTTCACTCTATCACCTGGGCTTCCTGCCAAGACAAATGAGCCCAAATTCTCCTGCTCCTCCTCTTGCACTGCTCAAGGGAAAAATGTGCCTAGCGCTACCTGACCATATTACAGCTGGACCCATCACTGCTACTCATCTTCTTCCCAGTTCTTTATGCCGCCTGGTCTCAATTCTCCTTTTCTACCTATTTCCTAAGCCCAACTCTGCATTTTCATGCATTTGTAGATTACCTGTGTCCAGTCGTTCTTGCAGAAAGAACTACTTTTATCAATTACTGTCAACAGTAACCTATTGATCCTGTTGCTATTACTCTCTTCTCTTTCACCTGATCTTCCACCTGGTACTAACAAACTTCCTCCGCTTTCCTCGCATGACCCACCCCTTCCAGGGGTTGAAAGTGTGTTTCTTATGGCTCTTATTGGGGCTATCACAGGGCACTTCCACTTCTCTATCATTTCTCTCTACCTGTGACTCCACCTTAACCCCGAGAGACCACCTTCCATCCTCACTTACGGAACATAATTGAATTGTTGTAAGTCAACCCGTTCTACTGAACCAGAAAAGAACAAGCCATTTATTGTGCCAGGCCAATTAACACACATCCTTACTGATTAAAGGGCAGATCTTTTAAGCCCTCAGTCCCATAGCTCTGTGATGGCTTTTGCTCTCCGTTGCACTGCGCCTTGTGTGCCCCAAGATCTCCTCCTATTGCATCCCCACTCCAAAGAGTGTCTTGCCCATTGCTCCCTATTCTAACTGTCAACTGCTAATTATAATCAGTTTGACATTAAGAGGATTTATGAATACTGAAATGATGGTAGTCTGTGAACTAAGAATACTGCTGTAGAAAACTAAGGCCACATGCTTATTTATGTGTGCATCTCTTACCCCTTCTTTGGTTTCTCTTGGGCCAATGAAGGTGCCCATAGCTCCTGTTGCGGAACTCCTTTGCCTAACATTTGTAGTTAAAGCCCTTTCATGCTGGACCTCTCCCAATGAGGAATGACACCTGTTTTGTTTTTCAGTTTTGGTGATAAACAAAGCAAGATTGTAGTCAGAAAAGACTATAAAGTGAAATGGTTTGAAGAAGTGGCAGACAAATATAAAAAAAATAACCTCTTATCTCATTAAAAAATAAGTCCTTTTCCTTTTTCAGTTAGTTTTTTTTGGGTTTGGTGACTTTTTTCTGACAACACTCAGGTTTTAGAGTCTTACCTGCATATACCCACTGAACTGGGCCTGAAATTAACTCATTTTTGTCTGCAGCATTTCTGCCTCTGTATATTTTGCACAGTGGAAGGCATTCCACCGAGAAACTCTAAAGGATTTTGGTAACATGAACCACAATAGAGGATTAGCGTTTCCCTGTTAAGACCCTTCAGCGATGAAAAAAAGATTTGTGTGAATGGGAGAGGGGGAAGGACAGAACAAAACCCATAAGGTTCTGTAGTTGGGTAGTATGGAGAGTCTATACTTCTGTTTGACGCAAGTCCTTGATGATGTATGGGTGAAGAGCCCTCCATTAGAAGACATGCATGTCAATGATGTATCTGCTAACTCTTTCTGCAGTTTGTTTTGTTCTGCTGACAGCTCTGCAATCTTGCTGGACAAACCCACAAGAAATATTAGAGGCAGTAGATAAAATCAGGCAGGCTGAATTTGATATAAGTGTTACTGAGACTTGCCATGCCTCGATTGGTTTGGAAACTATTTTCCTCTTCCTTTTTTTTTTTTTTTTCCTTTTTTTTTCTTTTTTCTTTTTTTTTTCTCTCTTCTTTCTCTCTCTTGTTCTTTTTTTTTTTCTTTTTGTAAGAAAGATGTTCTCTGAATAGAAATGTAAACATTTTTTTTGCCAAAATCATTACATTAAGAAGCAGAGAGTTGAATGCTAACAAGTGACCCTGTTGTTGATGTTCAAAACATACCTCATCCTGCTGTTCTCCATACTGGTTTATCCAGTCTGAGGTTTCATGGCTTTCTGCACCTTAGGCCAGATATCTGCTGTACTTCTCTGAAGTTGTAATTATTACACCTTGTGCCTTCAAGGCACAACTGAATTCAAAAGAGCCAAGCCTGAAACAGAGGAAGAGGCAAGTCTCTGGTTTTACCTATTTACCATAATGATGTGACAATTCATGAAAACTTTGGGGTTTTTTAGGTAGATCTGTAAATGTTTTGTGTGTATAGAAATAGTGAAAACTCAGGCATTAGCTTCAGCAGCTCTCCAGTGGTGTGGAGTTCTAACAGCAAACAAAAAAGACACGTGGGACACAAATGGTATTTTGTAAGATGAAACATACTGGAAGTGGGTGAGGAAGTTATGTCAGAGACTAAAATTACCATCTATTAGGCAGTTTATATGGGCATGCTGGAGGCAGGCAGATAGTGGGTACCTTCCTGCATTTCCATTTCATTCCACATATATTTCTTTAGGAGTATTTTTTTATTATCATTCTAAACTGATGCTATATTCTACTGCCAAATTGTTTTTCAGGCAGAAAAACCACTGCCAGGAATCTGTCACTGCCAGGAATCTGTCAAACTACTGCCAAATTGTTTTTCAGGCAGAAAAGTTACACCGTCCACTGCCAGGAATCTGTCAAACGAGCTGTAGGATACTATTATATAGATAAAACAAAGGAAAAAAAATAAATAAAAAGTAGGTCATTCATTTTATTTGCTGAGCATAGTCTGGTTTTGGTGGTACTAGCCCATACTGAAGCCAGCAAGAGTATGCTCTTCAAAGTTGCAAAATGTACTGCCTGCAACTGTGCATCACCTTGGCAGGCAGACTTTGGGGGGTTCCCATTTGGGATTTGGGGTGCACTGAAAAGCCCAAGTGTTAACTGAAATACTATTGGCCATCTAAAGCAGACACCTATTAGCAGATAGGACACACAGAGAGTGAAGGAAGATTAGGATGAGGAGCCAAAAGCATAGAGAAGAATCAGGCTGATGAAGGGATTTGCTTTGATCTGGCACCTTGGAAAGGGAGAAAGGGAATATGGGGTACTGATGACTTGCAAGCATGTGCCTGTGTGGGCACACGTTTGTTGGTTTGGTGGCTAAATTAAAGCAATCTTAAGAAAACTAGCACAGGCTGGTCCGAAAGATTTCCTTTGTGCGATCAGCCTAAAGCATAGATCTTTCTAACCAACAGTACCAGTCTAACAGCTTTTCACAGCCAGGGACTCCTAGCAGATACTTAGGAAACATATAAAGGAATAGGGTGTGTATGAAGTGATACTTTTCCCAGTAGACCTTCCCAGTTCAGCACAGGGATTTCCGAAGCCAGATATGACCTCAGTTCAGTAGCTCTTCCTGGACCTATTATCTCCTGTGAATGTGCTCAGGTTCTCTTTGAACCTATTTTTACCTTTGGTTTTCCTGGTATCCTGTGACAATTTAATTACACATTATGTGGAAAAATACTTCCTTTTGCTAGATTTAAACCTTTAAAGCTTGCAACTGGCTGCCTTCCTCCCCGCCAGTTCTTGTACTCTGGGAAATGGTGAAACATCACCTAGCTTGGGATTTCATGGGTCTCTCATAACCCTCCTCAGCCATCTGTTTTCTCAACCAAGAACAGCCTTTCTTTCTATGGAAACCATACCACATCTCCAATTATCCTCGTCCTCTCCTCTGAACTTTTTTTTTCTGCTGTATCAGTCCATAGCAAAATGCTTTGCTCTGCTTGTCAAAGGATAAATATTACTGAGCCGAAGAGTTCTGCTTGCTCCCTATTTTTCACTCTGCTGGTGCATATCGTACAAAGCCACAATGGCGTAACTGTGACTTTTACATCACTTAACAACCACCTGTTTCAAAAGAAACACAAGCAGCTGCTGTTACATTCAAATCTTTATATTCTAGGCCATTATAAAAAATACATATATATACACACAGAGACTTGTTATTAAAGTTTTCCAGTTATTGGCTTGTCTGAAAAGGTACTGTAAGCTGTCTTCTGCAGAAGATCTGGTGTTTCTGTGTTTTCACTGGATAACCCTTCCCACCTCCTGTTTTGCTTTGCTCTCCTATTTTCAGAGCCCCACATCACAGCCATTAATCTTCCTGCCTCTTCCCCTCAGATGGCATTGACTGCAGAATTTGGGGTGCTGTTTGTTTAAAGAAAAACTACCGAAACCAAAACCCCAAAATATTCTCTTGCTTATGCTCATGCCTTTGCCCTCCTTGGCTTTTTTTTTTTTTTTTTGTATTCTCCCACTTTCTGTCTGCCTCTGCCAAGTAAAGTTTTGCTCTCTGCCCTCAGAGGCTCCAGCATGTGCAATGGATGCTTGGTGAAAGGGGCATACCTACAGTGCAGCTAACTTGCCTGGAAAGGAGAAGAATGTTGTGAGGCTGAGGCCTGAATGTGAGAAACAAGTCTCTCACACAACACTGGAAATGGCACTAAAGTTGTCAGGGAAGGCAGAGGTGTTTTCAGAAAACGTAAACCTTGGGTACATGAGTATGAAGAGCAATTCTGAAGAAGTAATATAAGACCTCTAGCTGGGTTAAAATAGTTATCATCTCCTTTAAAAATGCACTATATAATAGGATGTAGATAGTGGATTCATTGGTAATAGTTTCTCATCAATATCTGTTGAGAGGGAAGCAAAGACTGTTTGTGGTTTTTAGATGTGACTTGTGTTTTGGGATTTTAAATGTGAATTTTTAAAGCCAGAAGCTCAATCATTTCTCAAAAGCAGACCCTTTAACTTTTCTTTGATGCTAAGCTACAGTTAGCTGTTTCTTGGGTTAGCTTCCAATTTTATAAACCACACAACCATCAGGACACTTGCTTCAATAAAAGAGTGGAGTTGCATTAAAAACGAAGTGAGGTGTTTATTTGATGGCTTCTAATGAGAAAAGAACGTAAAGCCAATCATTTCAAGAAAGAGCACAGTGTAGCACGAAGAGCAGTAATTGCCAGTCTTAAGCCACAGAACAGATCCACTCGTATTGCGTTACTAACTTATCCCAGGTCACCTAGTGAAGCCTCTCTAAAGATTTTATGTCTGTGTTCTCCAAGCTTTCGCAGGTTTACACGCTCTAATAGTGTCACAACAGCTGTGCAAGCAGACCTGGATTTTCATGAGAACTTTGAAATAATTGACCCACAAGAGGACAATACATGCTCTGGACAAATATCAAGACAATATTCCCGAGATGCAAGCACTTCCACTGTTAGCATACAAGGGTCAGGAAACCATTACCATGCATGTGCAGTGGATGATGACTTTGATACAGATTTTGATCCATCCATCTTACCTCCTCCGGACCCCTGGATTGACTCTATCACTGAAGACCCTCTGGAAGCTGTTCAAAGGTCAGTGTGTCCACGGGATGGGCACTGGTTTCTGAAGCTTCTTCAGGCAGAGAGAGATCGTATGGAGGGCTGGTGCCAACAGATGGAGAGAGAAGAGCGGGAAAACAACTTGCCTGAGGACAGTAAGTAATCCACTACCTTAATATTGCAATTAGGAAAAAAATATTTAATATAGGTCAAGTTGACTCATGTGAATTCTGTAGCATGCACTTCTTAATTAAGCTAATAATCAAACAATAGTCATGATTCTCAGAAGGACTGTATGTATGTATATAATACTCCTTACTAAATCGTATGGGAAATGCAAGCGCTCACCACTTCTGAAAGTTAAGAAGTATTAGCTTTCTGGAAATCAGCTCGGTGTACAATGGTGTAGTTCAATGAACGATTAGGAGATCAAGCTGAGAGCTCTTCTAATTGTAATGTTTCTTAACTCTTCTGTTTGAAATTACTTCTCATAACCCGAGAAGGTAATTTAACAGATGTTAGTGATTTAGCTGGCTTTTGGGGATGGTTATGGGCATCAGATTCTTCAGATACTTCTCCCAACTGAAACAACTCTTGGTTTTGCTTCCAAATTAATTCTCTCTTTTTTCCCTCTCCAATCTCCCCTCTGCTCCCTTGCAGTTGTCATTCCTCTTGATCCTCTTTGAAAAACAAGCTCTCTATTCTGTCATACATATACATCCATCTACCCTCTGTTGTCATTTCTGCGAGAAGTATTACCCCACCTGTAAAGGAGTGGGAATAACACTTTCCTGGCTAGTAAATGCTATAAGAAGGGTTGGGTAGTTCACATTTTGTTTATCCACACTAGCTATTGAAAAAGAGTTTCACATGTAGCTCCCAGTCCAGCACTGGCTTTGTCTGTCTATACAGAACAGTTGTACTGTATTAGCTGTCAACTTTTAGACATAGGAAAACCTGTGAGCTTAGGAGTGTGCTCCTTGTCAATGAAGCTTTTCAGACTGTAGCACCACGCCTCTAGAAAATGCTAATGAGCATATACATACCGAGAGCTCAATATTTTATAGTTCGGGCACAGCTAAGTGTATTTTGTTGGTTATGGCAAATAAGCACTTTTCCAACCACTTACTTTCCTTAACCTCCTCCCAAAGCATTACCAAGGCAGCTACTTCAGCTCCAGGATTGCTTTTACCAAATTTCTAATTCTTCTCAAAAAATGAGGTGCTGGCCCCTTTTCAAGTAGGAAGAAAAAGGAACTAAGACTGACAAAAATATTTTTTCTCTAGTTCTGAAAAATGGCTAAACTATTTCTGCTGAAACTTTGCATTTAATGCAGTGTAAGAATTAGCCATAGATAAGTTTGATCTAAATAGTTAGACAGATTCCCCAAATTTTAGCGTATTTGAATCTGATTTTAGTGTACACCATTAATGTGTTTAAAAATCCCTTTGGACCTGGCTCAGAATAGAAAAGTACTTCTGTTGGTTTGCAAGTAATAAACTTATACACTTATAATAAAAATAAAAAAGTATTGAAAAAGGTATGTGAGCACATACGAAAGTGAAAATATCAAATGTGTGTGTCCAAGTTACCAAACCTATTTGCCTTCCCTTTGATGTAGTGACAAATGCTAATGGAAAACCCTATGGATGTTGTATTTGTCCCTCAGAGAAGTTACCCCCTTAGGAGAAGAACATGAAGTGAATTTTGCAAGCGGGTACACAGAGCGGGTACAGAGAAGTATCTGTGTACAGAATCTTCTCACAGTGCTTTGGTGCCTTTGCTATACGATAGTTCAAAGGGGTCTTTCTTTTAGCAATCAATGGGAAGAGCAATTATGGGGGAGAGAAATGAGCAGTGAAGCTGGCGTTTTCCAATGCCTCCTTATGCAGCTGACGGCACGTGTCCTCCTCTCTGTTACTGACTGGCACCTCCTGTTCCTGGTGGGAACAGGAGGGGGGAAAGGGGCAGCCAGTGCTACGCAGTCTCCGGCGCGGTGGTGATTTCGGCACAGTGTCAGCGGGCGCTGTGGCACGTGCCAGCCGCTTGCCACCTTCTGTGGGAGAAGTTCAAGCTGATGTCAAGGCACTGCCTGTGACTGGGGCCCCTTCCAAAGCCCGAGGCAAACTACGCCTTTTTTGTACCCCTGTGAGCTTGGAAGAGAACAGGAGCGAAGAGGCGGCTTGCGAAACGCATGCGGAGCAGGGACCGCGGCCTGCGCTTGGGCCGGGCGCCCGCAGCGCGCGCTGGGCCGGGTCGCACGGTGCCGGGCACCGTCACAGGCGAGCGCGCGGCCTCCGCGGTGCCGCGGCAGCTGCCGCAGGGCCCGCTCCCGGCGCTCCAAGTAAACCGATAGGAGCTCTGCGCGCACAATGCGGCCCTTGTGCGGAGCAGCTGGCTCGGGAGGCGGCTCGCTGCCGTTTGACAGTAGCTGGTATGTTACAGAGATACGTTCGGTGTTATCTAACCGGGAATGAATCTGCCAGATGGGGCTGCATGCTCAGAGCTGGGAATGGAGTCTGCTGCTGTGTATGAAAACAAGCTGCGCTTCAGTGGCCGCATGGTGAAATGCCAAAATAGAGAGAAATATGGCTCCCCTTCCGCCATGAATTATTTATTGGAGAACATATTTGAGTTTTCTCTGAAATCGTTTTCTGATAAAACCACATTGTGCATGGCAGGCACATGAACAGCACTCACACTTTAGGTCACGATACCTGATACGATTTCCATGTATTTGACTGCTGGGGTGACACTGGCTACAAACTCTGGGGCTCTGATCCAAGAAAGATGTTAAGGGTCTGAGGCTAAAAGTGTTGTAAGAAATGGTTGAAGCTTTGGATCAGGCCTCAAGCGAAAACAAATGTTCACCTCTTTTCATTTTTGTTATTTTGCTTTTTCCCCTCTGCTCTTTCTTCCTACCCCTCCCCTGAAAAAAATTGTGCAGCAGATCCTCATTGCTGACTATGGTGAATTTTGGCCCAGAAGCTTGAGTAATGAGATATATGAAGATTTTGCAGCAACAGGTCTTCTCGCCTGCCCACTGTTGTTAGCAAACAGCACGCGAGCTATTTTCTTACAGCAGTGGTGGGCACGGGAGCAGAAATATCGCCATGGCCTTGGTCTGATTCCTGTAGGTTTTTGTTTTTATATCTAATTCCTGGGCGGCATTAACCTTCTGGAAGAACTGGAAAGCTTCATTCTGTTCACCTTGAGAAATATTTCCCTTCCTTGCAAGCACTTCCATAATGTGACTTCGGTGTTGAGATAACCATCAAAAGCAAACAGTGGGCCTGGTTCACCCCAAGTCAGGTGTAATGCGGGTTTAGTGGCAGGGCAAGTCAGGTCAATAATGTAAAAATTCAGATGGAAAGCCAAGGCTCTGACAAGGCATGTCAATACAAGGGGATCGCACCCTTTAGGCTAGTTTGCATACAAAGGTTGACCTTTACTCTTATTTAAGACTAAAGTTGCTGCAAATTCAGCCTGCTTCCAGCTGTTTTGTTGATTCTTTGAAGGAAATCTCAAAGAGTGACGTCTAGAAATAAGAAAATTAGGGCAACTATTCTTTTTCTGATACTTGTGCATGACAAAAGAAAATGAGATCAAAGGATTCAGTCTTGGGCACCAGCAAGTTCGTTTGTTGGGCTTCCCCAAGGTGAAAGTGGAATTGTCGTAGCCCCTGTCCTTCTGCAAGGTGCAAGGCTCCTTGCCAAGTGCTGACACAGCCTGACAGGGGACTGCCACCCCCCTGAGGCTTGCCCAGGATCTGCTGGATTGCCCCTGGCTCCATGCCTTTGGCATTATGCCCAAGCCGTCTTTCCTTGCTCCAATTTTCCTTTCTCCTCAGAAGGGAGTTCTCCGTCCCGATTCTCCAAGAAAAGCTGCCTCTGTGTTGGACTCCTTGCCAATATCCATAGTCTAGCAAAGAAATGTCCACAAGCAAAATGTCCAGAAAAATACAGCTTGGGGGGGCACAGGGGTGAACTGTGCTAATAAAAGCAGAGTAGGTCAGAGACCACATAGAAACCGATTTACTCCTGGTGAATAACATTTACTCATGCAGACAGCCCTATTAATTTCAGTGAGATCACTCCTATAAGCAAATATGACTCAAAGCAAGGACTGTGGAAATCTGCCTGCTCCATAGCTTGCCCAGTTGTCTGTTTTCTCCTTAATAGCTAATCTTAAGACCTGAGCAGTAGCTTTAACTTTGAATTTCCTGGCTTTTGTCATGCTTGACATTATTTAAATGTAACTCCAGTCAACATGAATAGGCTAAAATGCTGGTCCATCCTGGCTTGGAAATGGATTGTGACAGCTCTATGGCAGGATTGCTTCATATGCACAGTGCATAGCTAACATCTGCAACACAAATGTCAGGCAGTGGCCCTGCAATTTCTGCTATTGTTCCTACCACTTGTTCCTGATGCCTGAGCAAGTCCCCCATCTTCTGTTCCCTAGCTCCGTTTGGCCTGCCAAGGGTGTGTTCACATTAAGGGTATTTGATAGTCACAGCCCTGAAGTGTTTCCTTTGTGATTTGTTAGACCCTGGGGCCTGTCAAAGTTAAAATACAAAGAGATCTGTTGGTGTTTTAAGGGCAAATGATATGATCCTGCCTCAAAACTTTCATGTTATTCCTCAAAACTCCCTGTATGTGACCACTTTCCATGTCAAGTTTTGTCTTTTTCATGTATTTTTTAGGGTTGTTACACATGGCCGGCCTTCCAACACACAACAGATGACAGTGTCACTAATTCTTTGCTTGTCTTTGAAATTCTTAAATTCTTTTGTTTTTCCATTTCTCTTCCCATGAAATACACACAGGGCAGGGAGGTATGGATGCCTATATCTAAAGAATCCCAGAGTAAGTCCTGTGCAATAGTTAGAACTAAGAGGAGCGATAACTTGTTATTTGAACAGTCCATAGTTTAAATTTGTGTTTAAGAATATTTAAAGAGGAAAATAGTTCAGAGTTTTAATGCAGGCGAATTCGCTGACATGCCTACCCCAGAATAGCTGAACTGTATCAAAATGTGTATAACATTGTAGTTCTTCCAGAACAGGCATAACTGTCTATTTATTAAAAGTAGTCATAGGAGAGAACTGGATTCGTATGAAAGAGAAGTCAAAGAAAAACAAAAAGAAAAGGAAAAAAAAAAAAGGAAAAGCTGTAAAAACAAAACACCTCACTGCACACACTTCTCTGCCTGGGGAAGGGGGTGACAGCAAAGCACATGATGGATGTCAGTAACATTGCTTAATGCATTACTGGAAGGCATTCAGATCTGACAGTGCTGAGCGTGCTGTATAATCCATCGCAGAGTAGAAAGAAGGCATGAATAACTTTGTATAGGTGTTTAAATTTGTTATGACCACATCTTGATGAGGTGATATTTTTTGTTGTTTGGCTTCACATATTTTGTTTGCATCCTGTTAGCTGAAAGCATCAATTTGAATGCTTAGATTTTTTGTCCTGCACTCATCTCACTTGCTGTTCGAGGTTTCTTCAATTCTTTTCTGTTGCACTTCGAATTCTATCTTTGCAGTTCCATTTATTTTCTTGATACTTGCCTGCAGCCTCTCAGGATCTTCTCCCAAGAGATGCTGGTTTTACTTTTTATTATTTTACTACACATGGACTTTTTTCTTTGCTGCTGGAGGTTTTGACCAAGTAAGTGAAGTGGGCAGTCCGCCTGGAGACACTAAAAGCAACGTGCCTTTGGAAGCAGGACTTGGGCTATTGATAAGGCTTTGTGCCTTCTGGAGAGATTCCTTTCAGACTTCCACGTGCTTTGTCTTTTTTCCTTTTTTTTCCTTATCCCCCTAACTCCCGTGACGGAGCTGGTTGCTGACTGGCTGCGCGCTGACAGACTGCCTGCTTTTGGGGGGCGAGGAATCAGTGACATTTGGCTAGATCCAGCCGGGGCTGGGGCGACAAAAGGGGCCGGCATCAGCATGCAGCCCGCGGTCAGCTGGGACGAGGGCTTCTGGGCAGGCGGCCAGTGCGAGGCAGCCAAGGACAAGGGCTTCCTTCTCCCTCTGCCCAGGGCTCCGAATATGAAGCTTTTCCTCCCTCGACTAAAGGGGCGCGTTCCCACCCGTCGCCAACAAGGTGTACTTAAATTTGCTCACGACGGGGAATGTGATTTCCATCCGGGCGGGTTTCCAGGACGAGTCTGCCTGTTTTGGGCTGAGGGTTTTTTTGCCTTTTTTTTTTTTTTTTTTTTTTAATCTTTTAGCCTGAGAAGTTGGGAGACCGATTTTCTCTCCCCTTCGCAAGTCTTGAGAAGCGTCAGAATGGCCCCGCTCCAGATGAGGCAGCTGTTCCCAAATACGCGCAGTGGGAAGAGTTTTCCCAACAATGGGAACCACATGAAAGCTGGCGGAGTGGCTCCTCCCACTATTGAGGAGCCCTTTCAGTTGAGCGGTTTGCATATTGGGTTGCATAAATGACTAGACACACCAAGGGGTCCATTTTCAGCACTGTGCGCATAGGATTAGACACGCAAGCCTTGCTAACAATAATGAGAGTTGTGTGCAAAACTCCCTGCGCAATATGCTGAAAATATTCTGCTCAGTGAATCTTCCAGCTCACGGCTATTTCCTGGCAGTGCTGAGCCGAATTCTGGGAACAAAATGAAAGTCTGGGCTCTGTGTGTGTTCACAGAGCTCTTTCCTATAGTTTCTGAAAGAATTTGAAGACTCTCTCTTCCCCTCCTTTTTTTTCCCCCCCCTTTTTACGTCTGAGGTCTAAATATGCTGCACATCCCGCTTTTCCTACACCAGTATTTGCTTTTAAAGAGTGGAACATAGATTGCATACTTCTGTGTGTCTGGTTTCAGTGCGTAATGGTTGTGCCAGCTCACTTAGCGTGTGAATATGCAAGCAAGCACCTTGGAAAAGCTTTCCTTTTAGCAAACCTTGCATGCTAGTGTTCTGGTAGCAAGCTGCAAATATGGGCTGTGCTTAGTCACAGGACTGCGAGATCCTGAAAATATTGAGGGAAGGGCTCTTTCAAGGTCATCCTTAGCCTATTTTTCTTTTTCATTTATAAGTCAAAATGCTTAGCAGTATTTTCCTGGTGGAACTTGTATTAAGCTTTATACAAGAAGCAACCTGGTCCAGTGGATGGTCCAAGGACATGAGCATCTCCACACGAGCATCTCTTCTAGGTGCTGCCAGCAATTCACTGGTTCACCTTGAGTGAGACACTCGGTATCTTTGTCTCCCGTGCCTCTCTGTCACCTCTCACACATATACAGACTGTAAATTCATCAGGGAGGAAGAGCTTTAATGAGACCTGGAACAACGAGTAACGCAAATATCTATTAGAATAAATTAGAGTGAAAACTGTGACACAGTGCTTGATGTTCATGTTTCTCATGGAAACATATATGGTATGGGCTAAGTTGTCTAGTTTGCTTCGGTTCTTCATGGCACTCAGTCCAAAGAGACAGTAACAACCAGTCACCAGAAAGTGCAGGAGTTGGAACGGGACCAGTTGGCATCTCCCTGCAGGTAGCCAGGAGAGAGGCCAGGGCGTTTTCGCTGTCTGAAGTACACATGGGTATCTACATTCAAATGCAGAAGTTGCTTCACATTGTGCTGATGACAAAAACTCAGAGGGTAACAGAGAGATTCATCCGTGGGCATTGAAATCACCAGCCCCTCTCCGGGGTTCAGATCAAGCAGTGCGCAGCTAAACCCTCGAGCAAGGCACCGCATCTCTAAGTGCAAGGGCAGCAGCGCTGGCAAAGGCAGCATTTCCCAACAGCAAAGTCACGGGTTTTGGAAGCTGTGTATTACCACGCAGACAGACGGGTTGCAAAGCCTTAGCCTGTGTCACAGCTCTGATCAGAGTTAAAATTTCTTGTGAGCTCTCCATCCAGGTTGCAAAAGCCTTAGATTAATCCTGTCTGTACTGTCATGAGAGTGTTCCTTGCTAGTTAGGGCTTGCTTTGCTGGGGGAATGAGAAGGAGCTATAACAACAAAATCTTGTTATTGCCAATGCTGGCTGCCCTGAGAGCACTCGCAGCCTACCTCTCCCCAGGGCACATCTGGCCTCAGATTGATCAGCTGCTCTATAATTCATGAGTCTCTTTCCCTTCTTAGTTTATAAGCTTTTAGCTGCCTGTAGCAAAGAAAGCACCGTGACTTAACGTTTCTTTTTCTTTCAGTCCTAGGGAAAATTCGAACTGCAGTGGGCAGTGCCCAGCTCCTCATGGCCCAGAAATTTTACCAGTTCAGAGAACTTTGCGAAGAAAACCTGGTATGTAACATTTTCTGTTAGACACTGTTGTGTACCTTTTACTAACTAAGCAAGCATGCCATGAATAATCATACTTAAATGAGATTAAGCTTTTCTGATTAACAAGGTCAGCAGCTTTGTCTGAGAAAAAGACTTGATATGAATTTGGGAGTAATTCACTTAAACGTGGTGGAGTCAGTGTGAGTGTCCAAAAAGCATGAGACCCTTAAAATAAGGAAAGGAGAAAATCTTCGGGTGAAATATGACTGAAATTTTGCTACTGACTTCAGAGGAGCAGGGATTTGGCCTTGGCCTCTCAGTTCAGTTCACACAGACATGAAGATGTCTGGGTGCCTTCTTGAGGTCTTCGTGGGGTACTAAATATCTCGTGAGGGGGGCTTTCCCATTTTATCCCCGGGATGTCTATACACAGTGAGACAGAAATGCCAGGAAATAAACACTTAGCTTGTCTCATGTCACATGCCCCCAAAGCAGAACAGTGCAAGAGAAAAAAGTAATTTTTCAGAGCTGAAAAATGGCAAAGTGGCAAAAAGTCACCGTGTTCTGATCAGTATGATTGCATGTGATTGATATATTTGGTTATTATTATTTGTTATTATTATACTGTAAGTAGTAATAGAATCAGAATGATATTCCTCATGATAAATAAAAGTACATTTTATACCGTGCATGTAAGAAAGTGTTATCTAAAATGCCAGCACATTCAAAACTTTCAAGCAAAGCTTTTAATTAACAACCCATCTATCCAATAGATACAATACACTCAATTCTCATTGTGGGCAAAAACCCCACAAAGCCCTGAAAGCAGAGAGCGTTCGGCTCCATCACCACGAACTAGGGCAGGGAGGGCCAACCCTGTGGTTAATAGCACTCATACAGTGCTATTCACTTGGCTCTTAGCAAGACCAAGGAGGCTGTCCCTGGATTACTGTGGCGTTCACACTGATTTAGAAGTTCAGTCTTAGAAAGCGACTTTTTCAGTTATACCAAGCTGATGCAATGGGACATTTGCATGACATCAGCTTTCAGCATTTGATCCAGTTCTCAGTGAAAGCTTTAATAATCCCTGCACTCTGTTGAGTGGAAGGGCTGGGACAAAACTGTGACTGCGAAAGCCCAACGCTGTAATGAGTTGGACGCCTCCTTCTTGGAAAGCGGGATGACTGTTTCCTACTCCAGTGAATGCATTTCTGAAAATCAACCTAAAATCCATACTGAAAACCAAAATCAAAATCTACCTGAATGGGCAGATGCAGCAGAAATCAGCTCTGTCTGAATAAACCCAACCTGTTCTTAATACGAAAATGGAGAAAGCCTTCTGCTTGCATATGTTTTGTAAATAAAAGCCTATAACTGGGCAACCTGCTAGCCTCAAGGACTAGAGATCTAGGGATCTCAGATCTGCTCTCCCTCTTCTTGTGAATTTTGAAAATACATACTTCAGTGCTTTCCAGAGGTGCTGCTCTGGTGGTATCGTTATCTTATCAAAATCACCCGTCAGTGTGACTATGGAAAGCACAAATAGGAATTTCTGAAAGCAACGAACCAGCTCTTCTGAGGTTTATTATTTCTAGTGAGCGAAGAAACTTCCAAACAGTGTTAAACTGAGTCATATAAAGCAACTTGCAGGGGGTTCAAGATAATTTATTTATTCTTTACCAATAACGATGTATCAGTGTAGTGCTATGAGGTGCAAGCAGTCCTGAAACCCATGCCCCAGCACAGCTGTCTGCCCAAGACATGCCTATCGGAGCGGGGTTGCTGCTGCTGCACGTGCTCGGCTGAGCTTCTCGCTCTGCAGAGGTTGTCCTTGCCAACAAATGGGAGGAACCTGGCCTGAGGTGTGTGACAGGCACTTTCACTTGAACCGCTGCAGGAGCCCTGAGAGTTTCAGTGTGCGAAAAAAAGATTCATGCATCAATATGTCACTGTTTGCAGCAAATGCACATTTGCACGGCTTGCAGTCTTCCTCCGAGCGTAAATGTAGCAGGGAATCCTGCCTCATTAAAGCAAGGAGGAGGCCGGCAACGCATTGCCTCGTGCTCAGGAGCTCACCCCTGGATCCCCTGGCTGGGCCAGGGAATGGGCTTTGGCTCCTGGCAAAAACGCAGCGAGTAAGGAGTGCTCCTGGCCTTCGCTTCCCTGAATTTCCCCTCTGCGTCTTGCCGATCCTTTGGATCTGCTGAAACTGCTTTGCTAGCAAGATTCTTAACTGTTTGCACAAATGCTTTGCATTAAGAGGTACTAAAGCCAAACTTTTTATTATTATTATTTGTTTGTTTTTCCTTCTGTTGTACAGAATCCTAATGCACATCCACGGCCGACCTCCCAGGACTTAGCAGGGTTTTGGGATATGCTGCAGTTGTCCATAGAAAATATTAGTATGAAATTTGATGAACTTCATCAGTTAAAGGCCAATAATTGGAAACAGATGGATCCTCATGACAAGAAGGTAGAACATTGTAGATTTTGTATGCTTCATTTAAAACCCTGCACAAATACTGGACAAATTAAATAGGCCTCTGTGTTAACAGCGCTGACATTAAAAATGTGAAATGAAGCTCATATCAAATTAATTTCATTGTAATGACAATGTTTACATAATAATCATCTGGGATATTATCTGTAATATGTTTCAGGCATATTTTTAAACCAAATCTGTCTTTGTGAATCGGATACTGGGAATGTGGTTCTTTGTTAAGCTTTACATTTAATCATATTAGATGATCAATCGTTGGAAGGAACTGCCTTATATATTGGTTCTTAAAATTAAATAAATCACATTTACGGTTCATATTATTGCATATAGCAAGAGTTCTAGGTTGTGTTACTGAAAAAAAAATAGGGAAGTACTGGAATCATCGCTGACTTTGGTAACCAGATTATCAATGGAGCGATATCAAAAATATGCCTTCCAAAATGTTACATGAGACAATTTCGACATCTTTTCCTGTTTGTTTGTTAGTTTTTTGTTTGTTTGTTTTTTGTGTTTTTTTTTTTAGTGGGTGATTTCATTAGCAGGTTTATTTCGCTGGTAGCGCTGTTTACCCAAGGTAGCAGAAGAATCATCTGATCTTTTTTTTTTTTTTCTTTGAATGTAGTCTTCTCCTGTCACCATTAGAAACTCCTGCATCTCAAATGTGAGCCACTTTTCACTTTCCATTCTCATCAGGCACCATTGCCTTATTTTCCTTCTCACTGTCCACATCAAACAGCAGTTGCGTGAGCCAAGGTACCCAAGCGTTTCAGAAAGGATTTAGAAGACAGACCCATTCCTAGACGAACCAAAGGGCTCACACCCTGCCGTGCTCCTAGAAGCATTTGTTTTGATGGCTGCATTTCCATTAGCCTCCTTGTGACGCGTCTGATACCAATGACTATAGGAAACGGGTAGGGATGCCAGGAGGTGGGGAAGTGGGATTTACTGACGCTGTGTCACAGACAGGAGTCTGGGCTGCCCATGCTTCTGGTCAGCTGGGGTTCAGCTGATGACCAAAGTGTTTTCCCTTGGACAATAATAATATCAACCGCCCTTAATCTTGCAGCAGGAAGTCTGCAATGCGGGTAGCACTCTTTCTCCTCTGATCAAGGCTAAACGTTCATTCCCAAATTAGTGTTCACTGCTTTTGTGCCCACCTAGTGTTTGATAGGGGAGTGAATGGAAATGTGTTTACCTAGCACAAGAGACTGCAGGCAAGTCTTTTCTTCTCTCTCTCTTTTTTTTTTCTTCTCTTTTCCAGTATCTGTCAAAAAAGGAAGTTGAAAACTTCAAACATGCATGCACAGAAATGCTGATATATGATCTTTCATTAGTTTATAAAGTAAAATGGGCAGGCCAAGTGTTTTTAATACTAGCACCAAGAAATAAGTGTTTTCCTAAAAAACATGTGCCTTTTATTTGCTTCTGAAAACATTTCAAAGAGCTTCCAACAAGAAGAGTATAATGGGTTAAAGAAAGCTAAATAGTACTGAAGAAAGGGTCATATATGACCTACAGTAGGTAGGTAAAGGCTATTCATTTAAAAAAAATACACTTTGTTCCTCATTCAAAGAATGTGTGTCTATGATTTCAAATGGAACAGATCATCTCCTTTCTTAAAAGCAAAAAGAAAAGAAAAACTTTCTGTAGAACTGATATTTGCAATTGCCTTTGGCTTTTCCCATTGAGTCCCTTTCTGAACAGCATAGATTAATCCTTGGATGAAGAGAAAAAGCAAAGTATGAATAAGTGTAACTAAGCACCTTTATATTTTGAGCAATGGAAGCTGTTGTGACCAGCATGAGAGCAAACGAGAGGGTAGAATGGGACCTTTGTAGTGCGATAAAATCCCTTCGCCCAGAAACCGTGTTCACAGTTGGAAGGGGATGTAACTTAAAAGACAATCTAATTAACTTGACAAAGTCTTTGTGGCTGCCTGAAATTCAGATCTGAATACACTTTTCAGGAGGGATCCTTCTCTGATTTTTTTTTTTTAATGTGCATACACCAGGATATATCCTTGTTGATCATGTAACTGGAGCTGCCAGTGTGATGACGAATGCATGTTCTCTTGAGTGGTTTCTTAAATTTTTCCTACCGGAATTTCAATTTATAGCTGACTGTAGCTTGCCAAGTCTGCTGGCCACAAGACTAGAGTTTATGAGCTTACGCAGCGAGACGCCAAAGCATGCAACCCTTGAGCAGTTGCTGAGTCCGGCCACTGCAAAAATACATAAATATATGTATTTTTTCTCCTCCTGATGCAGCAGCACCAGGCAGCTAGTCCACATCTGCATTTGGGAATGTGCAAACCATGCTATCTCAGTGTCGTGAGACCATCTAGTGTTATGTATGTGTTGTTTTTCCAGGGACGAGGCGATCAGTGTGTGTATTTCAGTCCCGTCACGGCAGGTCTCTGCTGCACGAGATCCACTTGTGCGCGAGGCTCACGGGGCGCCTGGGAGCCGGGCGCTGGTGGCTGGTGCCAGCTTGTGTCCAAGATGCTCTCCTTCCTAGCCCTTTCCTTTAACCTTACGTTATTTTTTATGAACCCTTGAATGCAAAAGCCAGTTCCCTGAAGACAAAAAAGGGCAGATAGGAGCTAACAAACCGTAGGTAAAAATGTGTGTTCTAACTACTGACATATCCTAGTTTTTCCCACCTTTCCCTGAGAAGCTGTATAATGTCATTAACCTTCTGCTTTGATCAGGAGAGAAGGGTCCCTCCTCCAGTGCCAAAGAAGCCATCGAAAGGTCAGGTGCCACTCATACGAGAACGCTCTCTGGAAAGCTCACAGCGTCAAGAGGCCCGGAAACGGCTGATGGCCGCCAAACGCGCTGCATCCGTCCGGCAGAACTCGGCTACCGAGAGCGCCGAAAGCATTGAGATATACATCCCCGAAGCCCAGACCAGGCTATGAAGGGATCCACCCAGGAGGACTCTCACTGGCAAGACAAGTCTCCTGTATAATCTGCCCCTCTAGGTTCCTGCTCAAGGTCACCACCGAGTATTTGTACCCCCTGCCTCTCTCGCGCGCCCTCTCCCTCTCTGCCCCTCTTCCCGCTCCCGATGACCCCATAAATTCCACTTCCGTGGTGTAGTTGTCAACCCTCCAAGAGATGTCCTCTTCTAACCCCTTGCTTCCTAAAGATTTGCCCATGCCATCATGATGCTTTGTCACATGTACTGATGCTGCCACTTTGCCTCATGTAAAAGAGTACAATCCTTTTTATGTTTGAAACAAATAAACACGTCTCTCTGACTTACATACACACACACACACACACACACTTGTACAGTAGATGCTCCATTTAACTTATTCATGGTCTTTAGTTGATCTAAAGCTAGTCTGTTACCTAGTGTACAGCAATATCAAACTGTAGGGGATTTTGGAAATTTCAGTCATGCAGGGTGATCCTTTTGGACTCTGCCGTCTTCCTCATAAAAGTTGAAAGGAGCTATGACTCGGATTCCCTTCTTTTTATTACTTTTTTTTTGTTTATTTGTTTTTTAAGCAGATGGCGCACTTTATTCTAGACCTCTGAATCACACCTTCTCACCTGAATTTAAGGAGTCACAAAGGGAGGGTTTGGGGTGGGAGCTGGGGGGGCAGGAGGGTAAAAACACAGACCTATGTGGTGGAAACGAGGAAGTATATCCCGCAGGTGAGATGGTGAGGGATGGAAAAGATCCAGTGGAGAGATACCTGCACACTCACAGCTGCACAAACTGCCTCATTTTTATTTCATCAATCACTACTTAAGCATTTCAATCAGCAGAAGATTGTAAATTCGATCTTCCAGGGAAATAATCTATTTTGAAAGGCAATAAAAGAGCAAAAAGAAAGGAGATAAGAAGCAATGACAGTTGAAGATAATGTAAAAGAAGGATTTTCTTGTCCAAGTATTAAGAATTTTTAAAATTGTACTGTATTGTCAATTCCTCTTGTATTGTATTGTATGGATTATATTGGTTAAAAAAGAAAAAAAGAAAAAACGCTTGGTTTCGTTGATGTCTTAATCTTGGCGGGACTATCCCATGTCACGGCACACACCGCCACACACCGACACCTGTAACCAAAATGCTGCCGCTGGGGCCTGCGCCGCGGTGGCAGGCGAGCCTCGCTTTGCCCTCCACACAGCCGGCCAGAGCGCCTGCCACCAAACAGTTCCTACTGCAGCCTCCTCCTGGCAATCCAAATGCCCATCTGAAGAGTGACCGAGTGTTTTTCACCAATTAACGGGCTCAATACAAACTTAGCTTTTTTTTGCCATTGCAAGCCTTCCTATCCACCCTGGCTTCTGCCATAGCTTTGCAGCCATCAGAAACACACATCTCAAGCAGCTCGTTAATCCGGGGGGTAAATCACATCTGACGGGCCACGGCGGAGCGCGCCGGGAGGGGAGGTGCCCCATTGGGCGCGGGGACACGTGCGTGACGCCGGCCTGGGGCTTCCTCTAGATGCCCTTAGCTGCTAGGTGGGTGCAAAGGCACCAGCGGTGACGCGCGCACGGGGCCGCACCTCGCAGTCGTAAAGCATTTGATGCTGCCATTGGAAGGCCACACTCTTGCTAGAACCGTTCATCAAGATCACACCAGACAGCTTCTTTTCCTACAACATCACGGCCAGGTGCTAATTTAATTTTTATTCGAGAAAACGGGAGAGGTAATAGGTTCTGGCACCAAGTATTTTCATGGGAGCATACTAAAACCACTAGAGAATTTGCTACCTCTCAAAGCCATTGATATCTGAGCTATGTCTTTATAAACAGGGCACAAATATTTACTGCTGTGGTTTACAAGATAAGGGCTAATAATTTAATATATAAAAGACTTTTAACTAGAGTAACCAGAAATCCAGTGTAACCCTCGAGTGCTTTTGTGTTACAGGAGCTTTGAAAGGTTTGACCCGCGAAGCATTTGAATACCGGTGTGTTTGCTAGTTTTCAAAAACTTCATTTAACTTTTAGCAGCAATGAAAGATCACAGTGTTTGCAGTATGTAATAGTGCCAACTGCCACTTTTGAGCATTTTGTCATGTTAAGTATTAACTATATGGAACTCATTTGTACTGAACCATGCAAAGCAACATCCAGGTGAGAATCGCCATTCAAAACTCTTCCAGATTGGTTTTGTGAACATTTTATGAAAGATGAGTTAAGATCGTGGTTGACAAGTGGCTACAGCAATTTATATCTAGCAAGCTCAAAAAAAAAAAGAGAAAAAACACAGAATATTTTGTCTTGTATGTTATGAATTACTGTATTTGTATATCATAAAATATTTTTCGTACGTATTTTAAATGAATCTATTCTTAGCTGAATGCCTGTTAGTTCATTTGGCTCTGGAGAGAGTACTATGATGTCTGCTTAGCTTTTTAGCAAAACCTAAAAGGTAGAACCAGGACCAGTAAATTTAAAATAAAATCCTGTACTTCTGCCCCTAGAATGCCACTAGTTAACCACTTGACTCATGTACCAACACTAATGCTACTATATTTGCTCTATCATTTGTTTTGGCATAATCTGTAGCAATCAGTTTTCAGTCTAATCTGCCCAGTGTAAATTAAAAAATGCCTATATTCTGTTTTAATTTGCTACAAATGTGTTGCTTTTTTTTTTGGGGGGGGGTGGAATTTTAGAAAAGGTTGCTTTTGTCTCCCGCTTCAAAAGTTTAAAAAAAAAGTATTATATTTTTTGCAGATGTTCCATAAATTTCTCATAATCTTTTTGTAAAGAAAGATGAAGAAATGGATTAAAGATTTTTAATATTTGAAAAGGTAAATAGAAATAATTTATTTGTAATATATTTCAGTTTATTTATTGATGTTCCCTTAATGTTTTGATGTGCACTATCACTTTATTTTAAACTGTACTTTTGTGATTTACTGTTTCTTTTTTTAAAGAAAATGGTCAAATGCATATTTTAAGTAGCTGGAATGTAAATCACTGGCTTACCTGCATTCCCAAAGTGATTTTAAAACAGTTTGTTTGTTTGTTTTTTATTATTATTTGAAACAAAAGACACACATTTGAAAGCCTTTAGACAGAGGAGAGTGTTTTTATGGCTTAATGATTTGGGTTTTCATAGGATTATCTACATCTAGTTTGTGTGTGGACAGGAAAATGTAAATAGATGAATGTTTCCCATAATGTAAAAAGAGCAAATTAATAAAATAATTAATGCACTGCTTGTAAGAGCTGTGGCTTTTCAATGCAAAATTTGTTCTCCCAGAGCTGTAGAAATGCTTCGATTTGATGTGGTCCAGGATGAAAGCGCACCAAGCAGCGTGTTTCTCTTCAGCTCTCGCTGTGTAAGCTGTGAGAGGATGACACACGTTACATGCGTGACTTCAAAAGACACAAGAAAAGAGAAGCTCCAATTGTGTTTGCTTTTCACCACACTGGTTCCCTTAGTGCTGAAGTCATCGACGGTGATGGTTGAGACGTGGTGGCTTAAACAGCTCCCTGGCAGGGATAACTGGCTTTCCCTTTGCTGCCCTCCTGGATTTTTCCCAGTGTGCTCAATGAAGAAGCCTCCTAATGCTGCAGTAATATTTCCCTGCTGTTCTCGTTCACAGCTACACCAGCAAATGCTAGTATTTTGCCATATTTCCATCTAGTGAGCCTAATAAATATATTAATAACAGTCAGTGCTGCACAAGCTACCATTTGCCAGCGCTTAGACCCTCAGTTTGGGAATTTGGCAGAGATTTGTGGCAGTGATCTAGAGAGAGGGAAATGTCTGGTTGAAAAGCCCCAGCTATGACGTGGGATCACCCTTCATCTGCTGGAGTTGACGCTCTTGCGGTTCCCTGATAAACCAGGGATGGAAAAAAATATACATACCAATTTAAAAATCTGAGGTGGCGGGGATCTTTTTGCATTGAGAACTGGTCAGGTGATGTAAAACAGCAGATATGTTTCTGGCCAATTGCTTGCTGAAGAAAAAACAAGTCCGAACTGTGGCTCAGGGCCCTTCTTTCGATACTCACTGGAGGTCAGTTTTACCCTGTTTAAGCTCAGTGTTGCCTTCCAGATGAAGTTACGAGCCTTTCCCATGAGCGTAGCTTGTTGCTAGTTTGTTTGCCAAAGGCTGTTCTCTCCTGCTCTGGAGAGTCTTTCCAGCACCACTAAGAAGCAAATAATAAATTTTCGTCACCACCTTGGAGCACGCTAACCTCTCAGAGCTGCTGCAAGCTGCTGCTGTCACCAGGCTGATGTTTTTTGTAGCAAATGTTGTTAAAATCTGAGCAGCTCGTCTGCCACTGGCATTTATCGGTGAGTCTTTGGTTTGTGTTTGAGCTGGGGGCTGTGGATATGCCCCTAAATGAGGGTGTCCAGCTCAGGTCGCTTGTGTTCTATGAGCGACCTGGTGCCCTGATGTCCCACGACATCGGGGTGAAACTGGCCCCTCTCACGGTGTTCAGACCTTCATGCCCCGGCAAGGAGAGTGGCCTGGGGCCAAGGCCAAGGCCTCTCGGTGCCGCGGGCTATCCCTGTGGTGCAGGTCAGTGACCAGCCTGGGGTGAACGGGCCTCTCAGTGCACCAAGGTGAAGCAGCACAGAAAGCAGCAGGTCTTCGTGGCTCCTTCCACTGCTCCAGCAACACCGTAGTCATAGAGAGCAGAGCCGGGAAAGCTCCACTGGGGCATGGTGACAGCACCCTGTCACTTGGAGATGGCAGGTAAGTCATGACCCCGGGACTGGACTGTGCTCCACCGAGGGGAAAAAAATAAAATGTGATGGGAAGGAAGGAAGGGAGGAAGGAAGGGAGGGAGGGAGGGAGGGAGGAAGGAAGGAAGGAAGGAAGGAACGAAGGAAGGAAGGAAGGAAGGAACGAAGGAAGGAAGGAAGGAAGGAACGAAGGAAGGAAGGAAGGAAGGAACGAAGGAAGGAAGGAAGGAAGGAACGAAGGAAGGAAGGAAGGAAGGAACGAAGGAAGGAAGGAAGGAAGGAACGAAGGAAGGAAGGAAGGAAGGAAAAACAACTTGAACTGTGACACTGCCCACTGCCTTCACCATGGGCAACTCCTCTTTACCATGTCTGCTCCTCATAGAGCAATGCCCATGGCTGGGTGCCTGGCTTTTTCTTTTTTTTTTTTTCTTTTTTCTTTTCTTTATTCTTTTTTTTATGTTTTTCTAGCCAAGCAGAATGGAAGCAATTATGGATTTTGCCACCTCTAGTAAGGGAAGAGAAACACTGGAGCATTTCAGAGCCTCTGGAGAGCACAAACCTTGCATGGTCTCAGAGTGTCTTGTGGAAGCTGCCCTTCTGCTACGTTTTAAACCTGTCAAAGGTTCAGGAAATGGGGTGGGCCTTGCATGGGGGTAAATAAAAGAAAAAAAGAAAAAAGCAAGAGGACAGAACGTGAAGAATATTTTATGGGTAGCTAATATCTCCCCAAGGTAAGATAAGTCATTTGTGTAAATAACCATGTGCTGAGGCAAACACCCTGCTTTGGAGCCGGTAACTGTGGACTTGCACACTGAATAGTAAGAGACAACCCCCTGCTATATAACTAGGCTATTTCATGGCAAGGGAATGAGAAGCTGATCAGTCTTCCCTGGCATTTAACTTCAGAGAAAGAACTATCAAAAATACGTTCTTGAAAGGGCATGGCTTATTTTTGCTATCATGCTCAGAATTGCTATCAGAAATTATTTTCCTAAGTGTGTGGTCGAAGCTGGGTTGCTGCAGTCCTGGAACAAGAACTGCGATCCTTCCTCCTTCAGGGTGTAAAAGGCAGGGGAAAGCATAGGGCCTGGCTGGAAGTGCATGGAAACCACCACCAATGCTGCAACGATTTCACCCGTGCCCAGAGTGTTTGCTGTCACCACCTGTAGCTATAGCTGTGGGCAAAACTCCCTCCCTTTCGTCTCGCTAGCAACTGTTTTAATCCAGTGTAGGCAGCCGTGTTTGATTTTTGATTTGTTTGATTTGTCTTTTTTTTTTTTTAAGTGAGGTTCTGCAGTTTACACT